CAGCGCATTTTATGGAGGACTGTTTCCTGAACCTGCAGAGTAGCCTATAATGCGTCTGTGCTCAAAGGCTGTTTCTATAAAGTGGGGCAGTTCCAACTTTCAAGGACGGTCTGGCGCTTCTGACTCACAGCCTGTAAGTAAGCTTTTTTATATTTAAAGAATTTGCCACTGACGATTTTCAAATGCGAGTTTGAGCAGTGTAGAGTAGCGCTTGTTGTTTGTCATTTCTCCGATCACAAATGCAGACATGGTTTTATGTTTACGCGGCGCGATATGAAACGCAACGCGTAAAAAGACAGTATAAGTCATTATAATCAGTAATTATGTCCCCACTGGATGCAACAAATGCTTCGTTTATAATGGATTTTATTGGTTTTGTCTCATCGTGCCGGGACACGGCATCACAGTGTGGTGAGGGGCGTAACATTTCCGTCACACGCTTGAGGTATTTAGCCAATCACAACGCACTGGATAGCTGGCCAATCAGAGCACACCTCGCTTTTCAGACCGATGAGCTTTGTAAAAATCGACGCGTTTCAGAAAGGCGGGGCATAGAGGAGCAACAATAATGTACATTATGTGGAAAATAATGTGTTTTTTTAACCTTAAACCGCATAAACACATTGCATTACACCAAATACACAAAATAATGTTCTTTTTAGCAACGTCATATGACCCCTTTAAATAAATTCCATTATAATTCAAATTTATAATCTACCTTTAATAATAATAATCTACCTTGGCTTATGCTCTAAGAAATTAGTTTTCTTGTGAAAAGTTAATTTTTTGGCCAATGAAGCTTTTAGCAATTATTTAAATCTAGAAACAATGTGAATGAACACCACAACAGCTTAAGCAGCAAACTTTGCAAAACACAACATTTATGTCACTGCCGAAACTTTTGGCCATGACTGTATGTAATGTGCTTTGTTTTCATGTCTTGTATGTTTTTGCATAGGTTATGTGTATCTGCTGTTTGACTGGGAGAAGTCAGTGAAGACGCTCCTGCAGGCCTGTGCTCAGCACCGCCTGCAGTCTGACGATTATCTCGAGTTCTACGTCAAACTGTCCAGCAGGCGGATCCACAGCAAAGATGTGAGAATAATATGCACTTAAACATACACCATTACCGACCCCTGACCTCTGACCCCGCTCTCTCACTCGCTGTACTGCAGGTGCAGGTCATCCCATGGGTGATCTCAGACAGCAATTTCATCCGCTGTCCATCCCAGCGTCTCTGCCGCAGTAAGACGGTGTTTGTGGGTGCTCTGCATGGGATGCTAAACGCAGAGGGTCTGGCCCACATCATGGACGAGCTCTTCGGAGGGGTCATGTACGCAGGCATCGACACAGACAAGCACAAATATCCCATAGGTCTGTGCATTCTCCTCTCATCTACACTGAAAAAAATAGTTGTAGAATTTATACTTGCAACCAAAAGTTTGGCATAATTGGAATAATTTGGAATAATAATAATGCTTGGAATAGTCTTTTGTGCGTACCAAGATTTTATTTATTTGATCAAAAATAAGGTAAAAAAACTGTAATATTGTTAAATATTATTACAATTTAAAGTTTTCTATTTGAATATACTGTAAAAATGTTTCTATGATGCAAAGCTGAATTTTCAGCATCATTACTTCAGCCTTCAGTGTCACATGATGCTTCAGAAATCATTCTGTTATGCTGATATGATGCTTAAGAAACATTTCTTATTATCATCAATGTTGAACACAGTTAATAATTTATAATATTATAATATCCTAATGGAAAATGTGATACACTACCATTCAAAAGGGGTATGATTACAAAAAAATAAATCAATACTTTTATTCAGCAAGGATACATTAAATTGATTGAAAATGAGAGTAAAGACATTTATAATTGTGTAATCACTACAGACGTTTGTTACAAAAATCTATTTTGAATAAATGCTGTTCTTTTGATCTATTCAGAAGCCTGAAAAATGTATTATTGTTTCCACAAAAATATTAAGCTGCAAAAACAATGTTTTCAGCATTGATAATAATAATAACCATTATTAATAACTGAGCACCAATAATAAATGAGCAGCAAATCAGCATATTAGAACGAGTTCTGGAAAAATTCTGAAAAAAGAGTAATTATGCTGAAAATTCAGCTTTTGCATCACAGAAATAAATTACATTTTAAAATATATTTACATAGCAAACATAGTTAATTTAAATTGCAGTATTTCACAATATTACTGTATCACACTATTACTGAGCACGAGAGGCTTTTGCCAGTGTATTTTCACTCAGAAATTGG